AATTATTGATTGGAAATAAATTATCGATTGCTTTAATAAACATATTCCTCTGAGTAATGAAAAATAATAGTATACTTTTGCTAACTTCTGGAACATAACCCCATGTTTTGCATTAGTTCTTTGTTTCATATAGCTCAGATTTGAATAACATGGCACTTTTTCAGAACGTACTACTACTGTTTATCGAATTACCGTGTTATATGAGGGATACCTATACTTACAAGACACAAAGTATATTACTAATATAAGATTACTTACTGCTGACATCTTTAATACACAGAGTTAAGGCTGCATAGTATACCATAGCTAAATAAACTGGTATACTAAATATATAAAATATATATAGATTACTTGAAAAAGATCTTTAAAAAAATAGGAACAATTATTGAGTGTATCTAGAAATGCTGAATTTCTACAACTAGATTAAGGACACTTAAAAATGATTAAGGCTTGATTCACACTAGAATTGCTGGATCTAGTCATGACAAAAAGAGCTACCACTATGTCAGCCCAGCAGATCTATTTGTTAAACATGACTTTTCTGTCAGGACTGTGTTGCTAGACTGGCAAATCAAAATTGGCTAATCGAGATAAAGATCCAAGGAAATTGTGTTTTAAAACAAGGGGAAAAGTAGAAATGAACATATTTGATAAGATGAAGATAAGAAATCCTATGCGGAAATCCACCCAATTCCATTACAAAACATAGGATGGGAAATTTTTCGTTGAAAATTTTTGCATTTTATGCTTTCCTTTCGCCCCCACTCGATCAATTCTTGTATTGTTCAAATATGTGATTATGTGACTTCTTCTACTAACCTGATATTATTTCCAAAGTATTTAATGCAGCTTTCTCGTCTATATCAGCTACGATCACTCTGGCTCCTTCTTTCGCAAACAGAGAACAAACTGCTCGACCAATGCCGCTTCCACCTCCTGTAACAAGTGCTAATCTTCCTGCCAGCATCATTTCAAATTAATGAAAATTTCTTTACAATGATTTTACGTGTTCCTGTTCCTATTACGTTTTCGCACGTGATTTCTTGTTTATCTTTACAATTCCATGACGTAATACTATAAGTAGCCACCTATGGTTGCCATATTATATAGAAGAAATATTTGTTGTCTGATAAATTTGCCAAGTTGATTTAAAAAATCCGAAAATTAATCTCACGTTTAAATTCAGTTATTTAATTCGAATAAATTTTACAATTTCTGTCTAATGTTGTCATTTGTTGAATTCGTTATATAAAAATTAGTTATATAAAAATTAATTTAATACAAATATTACTGTACTTTATTACACATACGTAGAATATTATTACAATGAAAAGGTTATCACACACTTGAAGCAATTATTAATTAATTAATGCCTTATATATCCCTAAAATGCATTTCGGCTTCTGGTGTTAAAGGCCCTCTTCTGTTAGGTGAACAACATTTATCTATACCAGTGTTTCTCAACGGGGGCGATATCGCCCCCATGTGGGCGATTTTCTACGTTGAGGGGGCGATTAGTAACAATTTATATTTGGGGGGCGAAAAACAATTTTCTGGGCGATATAGTAAAACATTACATTAAGAATAATTAGATATTTTATTCTTTATATCGTACAATAATTAAACAAATAACATGATACTAGTCACTAGTCTATTCGATGCAGTACGAATTTGGCATTAGCCTTGGCCCTCGGCATCGGAATTTTGAACTGAAGGGGGCGATACTACATAACGGTTTTATTGAAAGGGGCGATACTACGTTGAAGGGGGGCGACGAATCGTTACAGGTTGAGAAACACTGATCTATATTAATATTATAAAGAGGTAATGTTTGTATGTATGTTAGTTTGTATGCAGCAAGTAATCTCCGAAACTACTCATCCGATTTCAAAAATTCTTTCACCAATATTTAGAATGGAACTTCAGGGTGGACATAGGCTGTATATTATTCCGTTAAACATGGGGGATGGACAGTTCCTTATGGTAATCCTTACGGAGAAGGCTTACCGTAAAGAACTCTGCTTCTATTTATACTATTTTAGATTTTTGCGTTTTAATGGGGTACGTCAACAGAATGTACACTAAGAAGGGATTTTTCGAAAAATTTTCCCTCACGGGGGAAGTGTTATACATTTATAATAGATACATTTTGAGCCACAACGAGGCGTGGCGGGATCTGCTAGTAAAATATAAAGAAATTATGCTAAAGAATTTCTTACAAGATTGTAAACTATTAATTAACAATCAAAATGTTTGACGGCTGAATGGCCGAGCGGTCAAGGTGGCAACCTACCGCTTTGAGGACCTTGGATCGAAAAACCCCGGAAATTTTTCGGAGTAGTCTGTTCCGGATATGTCAGGCCTCGTCCCTCACCACCCTGCCGTCCCATTGTGGACTTGGCCAACCCATAATGGGCTTGCTAAAAAAGCCTCTTAGTGCACGCGGTTGTAAGGAACCAAGTCTGAGCTTTATTTTTATTTTACTTTTATTTTGCTTTCATTATATTTTGTTTGGGGCTTATGTTTAGTTAAGACGAAGGTTTCCTCACCATTCACCTTAGTAACTTAAAAATAGAAGAAAAACCAACTCACCGACGAAAGAAAAGCGCCGTAGAAAAACTCGCGCACACTTGCGCTTCCCAAGCGGAAAAAGTAAGTCCGCACCGAGATAAAGGGGGGGAAGACCCCACAACCCAGTTAGGAATCGCTAAACCTTAAAATATTAAAGCATCCCGATAATTGTTTATAAGTTAATTCTTTGATTTTGTCGAATTCCAAAGGGGAATAGAATTAAGTTAGAAATAGATTGATTTGAGTTTGTCGGATTAATTCTTGTTGAGTTCCATTGAATAAATTATTGTTTGATTTTTACTAAATACTGTATAGAATTTATTAATAGAAGTTTAATTAAATATTTGATTTTGTTATTGACAAACTTTGTCATTATTTAATTCGGTGCACGCTTAAAGTCCAGGCCTGGCACACTAACGCGAATCCGCGTAAAGTACCCGTTAGGGAACGGCTATTTCCGGCACACAGTAGTGTCGATAATCGTTGGAAAGTCGGAAAAATAATATAGTACTTTACACGGTGAGGAAAGAGGCTAAAAAAAATTATAACTATTTCACTACGCGACCATCGAGCTGTGTTAAATTTCAAAATCTTTGAAATACAGTATTTATTTGAAAAGCCTTATGAAAATATTACGGCAGAAGTTTCATTATAAAACGGCTTCTGTTTTAAAACTAAAAATTTTAATTAAAATCACAAACAGACTATCCAAAACGGCATTTTCACTTGTCCTTTTCTTCTTCTTCTTCTTGCAGGTGTTAATATGGAGATTATAGCTCAAATAGGCTCTTTCTCCGATAGACTTGTGTATGATCGCTATGCGACCGATGAGCCAGCCGTACCTGAAAGGCCTAATCGCGCGCGCGGGAAATAATGCCTTCCGGGAGGACTTTTATGGGGAACTGGTCTCCTATTCAGTCGTTATTGGCAAGGAGAAAACCCGGAAAACTTCAAGCAGCCAGCCTGTCCGACCGTCGCGCGAACCCACGACGAACCTCCCAGTCTTTAGGGTCTGGTCACCACTACGATGAGCGGCAACGGAGACCATCGCCCACTTGTCCTTTTTCACACTAGGAACTGATATAAAACACATCGACGTTCGACTTTTTATCGAAGCTACTTCCTTAGTAAATTATGTACGATCCTGGTGTGAAAACGGATAACCGAAGACACCATTTTGGATAGTCTACGTTTGTAATTTTAATGAATTTAATGTCCTGGATTTTTATTTTAAAAAATTTCAAAGTAGGCTTTATATTTTTATAAAAAGAATTACGTTCATTTCATTTCGACTTCGAAACTCGCAAAACTACATAAATCAGCGCTGTCCAACTGGCGGCCCGCGGGCCGTATACGGCCCCCCAAATAATTTTCACGGCCCGTGAGTACATTTTACTATGAATAAATTTATGTTACTAAATTATTATTATTAATATTAAAATTATTTTACTACCGTGTTTCCCCGAAAATAAGACAGTGTATTATATTAATTTTTGCTCTGAAAAATGCAGCTAGGTCTTATTTTCAGGGAATGTCTTATTTTTTCCACGAAGAAGAATTCACATTTATTATTGAACAAAAAAATTTCCAAGTCGAACTTAGACGAGAGTGACGTATATCCGGTGTGGATATCGAACTGTCGCCTTTTTATAGCGTCAACATCGGATTCGCTGACCAATTAGTGCTTACTGAACCGTACCACTATGCAAATGTCATGTGGTTTATCAACCTTCTTGGCCCCCGAAATGTTTGGTGAAGAAAATATGGCCCGCGGGCTATGATAAGTTGGACAGCGCTGACATAAATGATTCAAACATAATTCTTTGAATCATTTCATTATCTTTATGTAAAAACGCACATTTTTAAAACTCTACCCTGTGGGCACTAAGAGGATCTTATTATTATTATTATTATTATTATTTTAGAAAATCCGCTACAGGCTTTGGTCAGGCACAAATGAGACGTCGGGTAATGAAGAACGGAATCGGAAAACATCATTCTTTAGTTTTGCTTTTCCAGGTTTTTTAAAACTCTTTCCGCCTTGTGGGCACTAAGAGGACCTCTTTTAGCAAATCCATTATGGGTTCGGCCAAGCCCACAACGGGGCGGCCGGGTGGTAAGGGACGGAGCCCGACATATCCCGAAAAATTCCTGGGGCGTTTTCGACACGTCCGGATGCAATCTCGGGTTCTCCAGAGCAGTAGGCTATCAGCTGGTAAAATGGCTTTAATAAGGTTGGAAAAGCCACTTTACCAGGAAATCGGCCCTAGGCTAAGATTTATACTGTAATTGTACCATAAAGTTCTTATTATAAGATTATAATTAATAGAGTTAGATTATAAGATTAATAATTGTACCATAAAGTCCACAATTTTCTTTTTCGAAAAAAATCATTTCTAAGTATTTTTTAAATATTTATTTTTCCTATTGTTTCCTTCAATTTTTTTAAATTTCAAGATTATATGTCATTGTTTGTAGATGGCGCTAATAACTTGAGCGAAAATGGGATTATTTCTGCAAGTTTGAAATTTATTAAGGAAAATGGAATTTAAGTTTAATTTTAGAAAACCTGAAGGAGAAATTAATGAATGGCTGTCTAGTGGAAACGACGAAGTTAACAATCATCCAGAACGATTACAGAAAGAAGAAAATATAAGAAAGTTTGTTGAAGTTATTCCGGATAATTCATTAAAGGTATAATTACTAATAACAGATTCATGCTCGTTTTCTCCAGAAGGTGCAAACTTTAACGTCATTCATGTTTGACAATAAAGTTGAAAAAATGACGTCAAATTGACGTACAATCTATATTACCACCTCGCTCACGAATTGAAGACCAAGGGCCATATTCTGGTCACTGTCTCTCGTCTGTCGCAAGCCATATATGCGCAAATACTGGCAGGAAGTTTGCCCACCTCAGGTGGGCAAACTTCTTGAATGTTCTGGCTTCATTATTTCAATGCAATGGAAAGGAGATAGCCAAACTGGTCGATGTTAGTGATAATTGCAATTGAGTCTCTAGTTTGCATGGTTCAGGGCATAGTTATCCCTCACACCAATTTCAATGAAGTAATGGAGGTTGATCCCAAATGCAGCACATATATAGTGAAAACACTGGGAATATACAGAACTCTCCAGTTGGGGAAATGACACAGCAGGCCAGCAGTCATAATTACAGACAATCATTCAGTTCTCACAACATTGACCCGAAAATCTTCATCACCACCTTCCTTGATAATCAATCTGGCAGCCCAAGTTACCTCCTTGTCTCCTATTTGCCTTCTTTTAGACCGTGAGTCACTTGCAGATAGCTATCAATGAGGCTGTGGACAGAGCAGCTTGCTTGGGAAAAATATTGGGATCAATATGTCAGAATAACCTCCCATGAGACTTTCTGAGGACCATCCACCATCAGAAAAGTCACCTCTTGACAGAAACATGATTAGTTGTGCTTCATAACAAAGGATGAGAACAGATTTTGGGCATCTGGTAAGATCCCAGGTGAGATTATGTGATTGGCAAAGAAGTCTTTTGAAAACTGTAGTTCAAAAATCATAATGTTTGTAAGCAAACACTAATGCTATCTACCACAAAGTAGAAACATGGAACATACAACTTACATGTCTTCTAAGCAATGCTGTACATATGACTTTAATTTCATTACAAATTTCTCACTGCATAATAAATTTTCAGACACTTTCCCTGTAGTATGTTATACTTCATAGATCCTGTTACTTTTCATTAAATTTTTTGCTAACATTTTTTATTTACAGGCTAAAATTAAATATTAAAAAATGTGGAATTTATTACAGCTAGTTATAACAAATGTTCTGTATTAGTTACTGTGTAAGAATCAAAACTGAAGTCTTTTTAGCTTTTATCATTTTGGTCATGCACTATATGATATATAATTTATTATTTTTAATATTTAAAATTTTTCAATTATTAATTAATCTTAACATTTTTCAGATTGAAGGTGATAAATATAAAATAAATAATTTGAAAATTGGAGACTGTTTTTTATCTTACATTAGTAGTGAAGATATCCAGTCAGATACACTGGATACTATTCAGTTAGCCAGTAAAAATCACTCTGATTTAATTCCCGGAATTTATGAAGGTAAACTTTTATATTATTAATTAGACTCTTAATTTGAATTTCATTAGGATTTATTGATTATATTAATTTGAAATCTATCTTCTTACCAAATTTCTTTATTGTATATAAGTTAAGATATAAATAAAACTTTGCCTATAAAATATATCAACATCTTTTTTAAGTTTTTTTTTGAGGCCTCAACTCAAATTTCCTTTGAGGCATTATAAAGATGCAGATATAGAACAAAAATAATAGTAATGAGTAGTAAGTTGAGACAACTGAAGAAGGTGAGGCCTCAGCCGTGGCCAATTGTGAATAATTTGTGTGTGATAATTTAATCTTGGTTGCTTGCTGTTCTCTTTACTATATGCATTTTCTTAGAATAAGGTTGCCGTTGAGAACAAATCACACAAGAACAGTTTTAGTGGAAAAAGGTTGGTTTATTGATAGGAAAGAATATGCATTTCAGGCTTAATGCTCCTCTTCAGTCCAATTATAACAGATTTATCAGCAAAATTATTACAGATTTACCGATTGTATTGAAATATTTAGGATACGTGTACAAAGGTTTATACAATAAAACATAATTACCTGAGATTATAGGGACATGTACAACAGGAATCTGTTGTACTGTGTATAAGGGTGGAGCTAAAATTTTTTTAGCTCCACCCTTATACACAGTAGAACAGTATAACATGTGCTAGAATAAAAAGGGGTAAACTTAAATAAAAAATTAAGTACATAATTAAGAGGTGGAATTTTTATAAAATTAATAAGGTGTGAAATAATTCCGATGAAATGTACAAAAAACATAGACCAAATAGGAGAGGTTAAAAAGATGTGTGTTTTCCCTGTATCGTTCACTGAATGTTTGGTGTGTTGACTTACACAGTGGGATACAATAGAGCAGGCATGGCCAACGTATGGCCCGTGGGCCAGACCCGGCCCGTCTAATGAATTTATGTGGCCCACGCTCAATTTTTCAATATTAGCTACTGAAGTTTGAATAGATCAATGAAAAATTCTGACACCTAAAAAAAAAGTCAACAATTCACTTGTGTTTAGAGTTAACTCTCCATTACAAATCTCATAAGTACAGTGTAGTGTGTTGATAAAGCATGATAATGTGAAAAATGTATCTGTAATTTCTATCTACGATTCAGTCTCTACGGGGTGACACCACGATGAGATCTCGCACCACCTCAAAATCTTCCTAGGGCAGCCTCTGGTTCAGCCCATGGAAAAAATTTTCTTTCCAATTTGGCCCAGGGGCAAAAACTGTTGGCCACTCCTGCAATAGAGGGAGGGAAGTAGTACATCTTAATGGGCTTTACTATTTAGTTAGGAATGGTTGCCAGATGTCATTGATGACTGCACCTGTATTTAAGTTCATTCTGTGTATTTCATTTGTTTTAATAATTTCAATGTGTTCATAAAATTTTCTTTTACTTTTTTCTTTTTTAAGAATTTTGATGCTGTTGAGTGAGATATTGCAGCCAGCATGGTAGCAACAAGTGGTGACCGCTGAGTTGGTGTAATCATACTTCACTCGACAATGTCAAAATTCTTAAAAAAGAAAAAAATATTATTAAAGAAAATTACTATTTGATCAGTATATTCCAGATTGAGCATCAATGTCAACGTCTCCAGCGCTCCGAAAAGTTTCGAATTGTTGCCTGAAGACAAGGGAAAAATCAATCAGTATTTGTTATTTTTGTCACTTCTTTTTATGTTTGTTCAGTGAAGTGTTCGTTATCTGAGCATGTGTTCGATGTCCGATCATAAAAATCTTGGCGATGGGCACTCATTAAGTTTTGCATCGAGTTTTATTTTCCAAAGGTAAAATAGCAAAGGTAAAGAGTGGGCAGAAGATGTCTGATATTGTTGGGCAGTATGGTTTGAACAAATCTACACTAGGGCACAGTTCAATCTTATCTAAGAAAGATACAGTATAATCAAGAAGACTCAAGTAACTAAAGGAGTAACAAAAATCACTTCTGAGAAATAAAGAACATTGAAGAGCTCATAATTACAGTGACCATATTTTTTGGGGGAAAATAAAGGACATATCGAAGAAAATTAAAAAATACCTTATAAAATTCATAAGTTTATAACATATATTATGAAAATAGTAGCATACAACAATGCATACATTAAAATTTTAAACAATCTGAATTATTACACATACACACATTGTAAAAATTTAAATAACATTAATTTTGATACTTTTCAGTAGAATTAATTTTTTTTTTATAGCGCTGTTTCACGCTTTAAAGTCATAAAATTCCATACAGTTCATTTGAAAGTTGTATTTGATGGAAATACATGCTTCTAATTTGCTTACTTTTAAATCAGTTTTTTCATTCGTCCACATATTATTCACCAATGAAAATATTCATTCAACGGGGGCATTAGATCCAGGGAGACAAAGAAAATTCTACGATTTTACAAATGTTTTTGAAAACAATTTCTTTTGCTGTAAAATGTTCAAAAATCTCAATCCACCTTTGATGGCAGGGCT